TGCGCCTCAGCCGCGGAAGCGGAAGCCCAGACGGGCCGCCCCCATCGTGGAGCCCCAGGAACCAGAGATCAAGCTGAAATACGCCACCCAGCCCGCGGATAAATCCGACTCCAAGAACAAGTCCTTCTTCCCTTACATCCATGTGGTGAACAAGTGCGAGCTGGGCGCCGTGTGCACAATCATTAACGCAGAGGAAGAGGAGCAGAACAAACTGGTGAGGGGTCGGAAGGGGCAGAGGTCTTCGACGCCCCCGCCCAGCAACGCGGAGAGCAAAGCGCTGCCCACCTCCACCTTCATGCTGCAGGGCCCTGTGGTAACAGAGTCTTCTGTCTTGGGGCACCTGGTTTGCTGCCTGTGTGGCAAGTGGGCCAGCTATCGTAACATGGGGGACCTCTTCGGGCCCTTCTACCCCCAGGATTACGCAGCCACCTTGCCCAAGAACCCACCTCCAAAGAGGGCCACGGAAATGCAGAGCAAGGTCAAGGTACGGCACAAAAGCGCTTCGAATGGTTCCAAGACAGACACGGAGGAGGAGGAGGAACAGCAACAGCAGAAGGAGCAGAGAAGCCTCGCTGCTCACCCCCGCTTCAAGAGGCGGCACCGCTCCGAGGACTGTGGTGGAGCCTCTCGGTCACTTTCAAGGGGAGCTTCTTGTAAAAAAGCAACCACTGATGGTGCCAGTGGTGGTGAAAAGACTCCTTTGGACTCAAAACCCTCTATGCCCACTTCAGAAGGTGGCACTGAGCTGGAGTTACAAATTCCTGAACTACCTCTTGACAGCAATGAATTTTGGGTCCATGAGGGTTGTATTCTCTGGGCCAATGGGATCTACCTGGTCTGTGGCAGGCTCTATGGGCTGCAGGAAGCTGTGGAGATTGCAAGAGAGATGGTGAGTACATCAGAGAGACCTTGCTCTACAAATTGAGCTGTCTTCTTTGCCGTGTGTATACCATTCAGAATACCATTTCTTCCTTGTTCTTCTCTCATGTCTTAAAGTGATCATCTTTCATCTTAAATAAATCTCTAGTGATGTCCTTTTGATGGCCTTGTTTAGATCTGTGCCACACCTGATCAGGCAGATTTTTCAGGCATTAAATGCTGGATATTCATTACCCACTGAAAGTTACCCATGTCCAAAGGCTTTCTCATGACTACAGTGATTTCCCCCCTCACTCCCCATCCTATCCTATTAGATACTTAATATTTTCTAGGGTTCTTCTGGGAACCATACAGTGAAAGGACAAGGAGCAGCAGGCACTAACTTCAGCAAAGAAAATTTCAGTTCAGTATTAGACAAACTTTCACAGTGAGGGTGGTCAAACATTGGGTTGAAGGAGAGAATGACAAAGCAGCTGTTCTTGGAGATGCACAGATGTGACAGGGCAGAGCCCTGAGCAACCCACTTTACCTCTGAAGCTGGACCTAACTTCAGAGTTGGCTCTGCTGGCAGCAGGGCTCCATTCAGACCTGAGTTCGTCTGTGGCTGTAACACACATTACACAACCACAAGAGAATTTGCAGTCCTTACAAAATAAGGTGGGTAGAGTAGAATCATACAGAGGCCTCTAAGTTCTAGTTGAAACATGGATGGGTTTAGCATTGGTGATTTTGATACAAATTACACCACTAATCATGCTGACGATTGACTTTCTCCTGTGTGTGAGTATCCAGGAAGGGAGAAAAAAATCGGTGAAACTAAAGCAGTGACAAAGGGAGAACTTGATTCACAACCACCTGGTTGTGGATGGAGACACTACTTGTGATTCTTGAGGCAGAAGCTGACACTTTAAAGCCCAGCTGGGTGGCTTTTTTTGCCATTGGCACTCTGCTGCATCCCTGTATTGGTGGTTACCTTTTGCATTGTGCTTTCTGTGCTGGGCCAGACCATGGAAGAGGCACTAGACTGCTTTTTCCTCTTCCCTTCAGCTGCTTCCTTTTCTAAACAGCATTGGGATCCAGTTTCCATCTTCTCTCTGTATTGTTCCATGCTGCGTGCTCGTTTCCTCCCCAGGAGCTTTTCTCTTCAGGTTTTATTCCTGGCTTGTTCTGCATTTTCACTCACTGTTCTTTGACAGTAATTACATGTTTCTTTGCCCTAACTTGATTTGGCCTGCATTCTTCTTCTAGCTTCTCATTAAACAAAGTCAGTTAATTTCATTTGGTTTTCAGCCAGCCCTGCCTGCATGCTTGGTCTGTTGCAACTGCTGAATTTTTCTTATCTCTCCTAGTTGCAAGGTTTCCTTAAGATCTCCACCACTGTTTGTTCTTCTGATAATGTGGCTGTGCTTTCATGTGTCTTGTGTTGCTCACCAGTATTTTGAACATGGATTGCTCCAGCCTGATTTTTTTCCATTTTTTCTGTTTTCAAGATGTGTCTTTCATTTATGATCCTTGTTCTTCCAGTAGCAAATCCCTTCTCTGCAAGTTCTTGAACCACTTGGGTTGTCGTCCACAATCTGGGGTATGCCCAGCAGAAGCACACTACACTGATAGGCTCTAATTGAACTTGACAGGTAATAGCCCATGGTCCACAACATTTTTGTATGGATTTTACATGTTGTTTGACATCTAGTTCTTTCTTTGCTTGCAAACTTGATGACTTTCTGACCAAATACACTTTGCCCTACCCTTTGTCACTTTCTTTCAACAGTTATGAGCATCTCCTTGTCACAAATAGAGGTTTTTCTCCTCCTCTTAACCCTGTCATCTGCCCTTATGGCACCAGACAAGAACACCTTATATCCCTTGAACCCTGTGTCCTTTCTCTCTACCTCTTTCTTTTAATCACTTGCTCAACTCCTAGCTTTGCTTTTTCCTCATAATACCTGCAGAGATGAGTGGTTTTCTGTTTGGTGGTTGGTATTTTTTCCCTAAAGAAGTGTACAAAACGCCTGTGGCCTGTGTTGCCTTTGCCATTACCTCTTGATTTCCTTCCCCTTTTTTAATATCAAAATCCTTTGAGTGCATTGTCTGGGGCTCTTGTCCTCCAGCACGGCTTCGATTGTGCTCTGCTGCAATTGTAGTCATGTTTAGGGTGATCTCTTCCTAGCTGAGGTTTAGATCCAGTACTTGCTTTTGCTTTCCCTGCCAGCTACATTTGTCACTGCCAGCTCTGCTGCTCTTCAGGTGTTGTTCCACCTTTTTTTCCCACCTGGGTCCTCTTTTGTTTACCTCCTTCCTTTCCTCTGTTTGTTGCAGGGGCTGTTGTTCTTTACTCCCAGCTTTTTGTGGGGAGTTCAGTGAAGTTCTGCTTGTACTGTCCTTCCCTTTTTCCTGGAATACCTTGCCTTTGGGTAGCTTTTGCTAACCCTGTCACTTTTTTCCAGAGTCCTGTAGAGCTTCCTTTTTGCTCCAGGTTCTTGTTCTCCTGCCACAGATGTAAAAATTGTTTCGAATTCATGGTGAGTTCTCAGACCCTCGCTTCAAAACATGGCTTTTAATCTGCACCATTCTTTAGCCATTGTCTGCCACCTTGGCCTGATTTTCCTGTCACTCAGATTCACAATCTCATTTGATTTTAAAACTAGTTCTTCCAAATCCTTTATACTTCGGGCTGTAATAAATACTGCTTGCTTTCTGCTCTAAGAAAAGTAATATGTAGCCTTTCAGTGCTCTCCACTCTTCTGCCTGGGTCTGGTTTTAATCTGAACTTTCACGGGCAGGGACCATTTTCTTGTGTGTGTGCTTTGTTTTATAATGCCTTACACAAACACAGTGAGAGGTGCCCTGGCTGAATGTTGGCCTGTTCTGCTCCATGTCCCTGGGAGCAATCCATCTTTCTCTCACCTCTGTCACAAATAACGGAACAGGTTTTCTCCTAGCATTATTTTTTCCTTAACCTTTTCATCCTATTGTAGCAAACTGTGGTGCTGTATTCTTCTCTGAAGGCAGGATATCCTCCCCCCTCCAGTTCAGAGGCCGTTCTGTGCAAGAGGAAGGTGGCACTCAGGGTTTTCAGAGGTGTACCTGCCAGAAGCCATCCCCAGGCAGTGAAAGGCTCTGTTGAACTAGACTCTTCTGCCCTGCTGCCTGAGGATACCCTTCTGGCTCAGGCAGCTGATCCCCTGTGCTTGCTTTGTGTGCTCTTTCTTCCCTTCTTCCCTGCTTTGCAGGTGCATTTTCTTTTTGTTCCCTCTGTGTGCAGTTTGTCAGTGTCCTGGAGAGGCAGACGTGCAATCCACGTAGCTGCCTGCAGCAGGGGAGACAGACGTGTGCACAGGGAATCTAGGTCTTAGTTTTGGTCTAAAACTAAAGACATTAGTTTATGGCATATGAAGGGTCGTGAGCCTGGATGTGAATAATTCATATATGTAACACATTCTGTTCAAATGAAATAGTGCCATAATTGAGAAGCTTTGTAAACTGCTTGTAATATCCACAAAGGGCAAATGTGCCCCAAATTTAAACTGAATCTGTACCATCAGATTTGCATCAAATTGTAATTCTTTCTTTAGAGATCTGGCTTTGTTGTTGTTGCATATGCAGCATCCTCGTATAGAAAAAAGAAACTTAAACTTTTAGTAGAAGGCCATAAACCATCAAACCATGCTGTAGAGGTGGTAGCATAGGTAACCTCTCCTGCCTTTCTTCTTCTTGCACAAATTCACTTGTGATTTTCCTCACATGGAAGCCAACCCCTCCAGTACCTCTGCTTCTTATTTACCTGCCAGAATCAGGAAGGAATTTGAAGTGTTCTTCCTGCTATAAGTTTTCTATTCCTTATATGAATAAATGTCTGTGTCTCACTGCAGTTTTTTGAGAGCAGCCCCATAATCGATCTCAAGGAAGACTCTACAAGAATTTGAGATGAGAGAGCATTATCTTAAAAAGGTTTCTCAAACTGTGAAGTGAGTCTCCTGAGCTTTGAGCTTTCCTTAAAGTCTGATTTCACCCTAGACTGAAAATGGTGTGGATTAATTATCTTCTAAGCACCAATCGAGCTGGTTTCCAAAGTGCTTGAGTCTGCCCTTCTCAAAGGCAAAAAGGTGTTCCTCTTGCTCTGGCCACTACAGAAGGCTTCTTGATTCTGAGAAGAGGAATGGCTGATCAAATAGAGTCTCTTCAATGTGTGGAATGGATTAGTCCTCCTCATTTTGAGGTTCAAGCTACATCCCCCAGCAGAGGGACCTTCCTGCCAAGTAGTCTGTCCTTCCCCTTAAGCTGCTCCTAAGGGCAGCCAGCCTTTCTAGCAGTTGGACATTTTTGATTCCAAGGCTAATGAAATCTTGAACTGAAAAAATGCCATCTCTCTAGTTCTGGGTGGTCCTGTTACCTACAGAATGCTTTCACTCCAATATGGAAGGTGGCCAGATTCCATGTTTTGCACTAAAAAGCAGATTTAAGTGATTTGGGCTAAGATCTTTGCCTTCTGATAGTGGGACCCTCCCAGCAGGTATTCCTGCAGCAGGTGTGCAAATACAGCTGTAATCTTCCTCTGGAAACTTCTTGGTCTCTCTTATTACAGTCATGGCAACTATTTCTTTGCATTTATAGATTTGGAAAAGTAACATTTGCATGCAGTTTACTATAAATACCTTTAAGGAAAGTTTCCTTGTTTATTTTCTCGTTTTCCTATTCATGAGAAACTCATTTTCATGCAAGATGAAATCTTGGTTACCTTTGAAACTGGCAAAATTATGAAGTCACTTTAGTGCTTGTCAACAGACTTAACATTTAAAAGAATTGATTGTCTTTATTCTCAGTATTAAATGCAAGAAACTGTAAGTGAAGAGAACAATGTGGAGAATATTCTTTGTGTTAGGTTGAGTTGCAGAATCTGTTAAGATAGTTTTCCTGTTGTTTTCTAAAGAGCTGTTGATTTGGAGGTGGTATGCCACTCCTCTGAAATTTTTGTAATAGACTCTTTTATTCCAAGGCAGAGGCTCTGGC